AGAAACTTGAATTCGAGGTGTTAATGCCCCAAAATCACCAAACGGTGTTGGTTTGGCACGAAACTTGGCACACACGACCGCTTAGGCACGAGAGACTTGTGGGAGAAGATGGGGCTCGAATCGGGTTCCCGGTTTGGGAGTTAGAGTCGGATTTCACTTTAGGCAAACTAGTTTCTTAAGAAACTTGAATTCGAGGTGTTAACGCCCCAAAATGACCAAACGGCGTCGGTTTGGCACGAAACTTGGCACACACGACCGCCTAGGCACGACAGACTTGTGGGAGAAGACAGGGCTTGAATCGAGTTCCCGATTTGGGAGTTAGAGTCGGATTTCGGTCTAATCAAAATTATTTACTAAACTATCTTTTTAATTATATAGTAGTTAATTTTTTTATATTTTTCTGTAATTGAAATATTAACACCATTATATTGTTATTAATTATTTTTATTTTGTTTTTTTCAGATATTTCTTTAATAGTAGTTTGCTTCTTGTGGAATGCGGGCGTATGAAGATTATGACCAACTTTTATTTTTTTAACCCACGAAGAAATCAAGACGAAAACTTTTGGTTTTGATTTTGATTTATGTTATTTAAATTTGTGAACAACATTATGTATGTATTATGCGACATTATGTAGTGGCTTAATTTTTATTGTTATGAATTTTTATTTATGTATTGTTATGAATGGAACAACATTATGAATATTCATTATGTGCCAAGTTTTGTTTATGTATGTATTTATATTATTATGTAATTTTTAGATTTTTTTTAGTTATTTTTCATTTAATATAGGTTTTTTTTTTATATTTTTAATTATTTTAATACAGGGATTTTTTTTTTTAAATTTTTTTTTGAGACGGCGGAGCACCCCGTCGCAAAAAGAAAATGGTAGCAAGCTCTTTGCGACGGCCCCAATACTGTCGCAAAAGGTAGGAATTAAACTGAAAATAAGGCCTTTAGCGACGGCTCAGGTTGCCGTCGCCAATATTCATTAGCGACGACACTTTTAGCGACGGTATTTGGCTGATGCAAAAAAAACTCTTTTCGCGACGGCAAGGCTTTACCGTCGCAAAAAATTAAGATTTTCGTAGCTTTTTGGCGACGGAAGTTTACCGTCGCAAAAAAAAATTCTACCGTCGCAAAAAACAATGGCGACGGCACTTGCCGTCGCTAAAGCCCTTTTGCAACCCCCTCTGTTGCGACCCCCACTTGCCGTCGCAAAAAACTATTTGCCGTCGCAAAAAACTATTAGCGACGGCGTTTGGAGTATTTGCGACGGCGTTTTGCCGTCGCAAAAAATAAATTTTTTTGTAGTGTAATTTTTGGGAAAAATCCTAGGGTAAAGAATTCACCACTAATCACATAAATAAGATTTAACATCGGCCATCAATTGCAATTTGGTTTGAAATACCGAATATTTCATAACTACAAGTTTGAAATATTGATCAAGAGGGTTGTCGCATTCAACGTACAGGCACGAATCATCTCGAGTAGCACGAGGTGTATGCTCTAAACTATGATAGCAACACGACCCGTCTCTCGTAGCATGACTTGTCTCGTACTTTGAATACAAACACAAATAAAACTAATGTATGGAAAGCATTAAACAATCACAAAGAGTAAAATATTTGAAGAGATGAAATGAACAATTATTAAAAACTTCTAAATCATCCATACATTGATTCAAACCGATTCACAATCAAAACTTATGAAAAATTCTATTACATGGTTAGGGTTTCATCAAAATCTTAGAAAAGAAGAGTAGCCACTCATGGAGGAGTGACAAGAGGAAGAGGATGAGGAAGAAGCCCCCATGGAAGTTGTCCTTCAAGTTTGAAGAGAAATCACCTTTTTAAAACCCTAGCCTCCCTTTCCTTAGAAATAATTTTCGAACTCTAGGTTAGCCTATTTTTCCTCTTTTTATTCTTAGCAAAACACACCCAAAATTCTGTGCACACGCCCCTAGGTGGGCCGCATGTGCGGTGGTCTGGCTGGCTCGAATTTTTCACTTCTCGCATAAAGAATCTACTGTCGCACCCTTTTTGATTGAATTTGTGTATTTTCTGCTAAATCTGTACAAGTACACGAAACACATCATCTCCACCAAATAAACAAAATTAAAAGACTAAAAATATAATTTAAGTGGCCTTAAAGTGGTACCTTTCAACTTACATCACAATTCAAACAAACAACACAAGTAGTGCACTTTTCTTCTTTGTCTCCTCCACCATTGAACACCACCACTTTCTTCAACCTAGCTAATGGTGATCTTCAAATAAACAATGACTTGATGATCAAACCGCACAGAGAATTGATGATCTCTTTCTTTATAGTCGATAGAATTTAGTTAGTTTCTAGGAAGAAGACAATTTATGTAATTAAAATATTAGAAAAATAAAATTTCAACTTTCTTTTATGATATGCCACGCTCTAAGGCGTGTGCAAGTCCCATAGGCCCCGTTTGTTTTGGGTGAAAGAGAGGGTATTGGGATTGCTAATACCAAGGTATTAGTAATAGCCTTGTTTGTTTTGGGAGAAGGCCTTGGGACTATTAGTCCCTTGGTATTACTAATATTGGTAAGGAGGAGGTAGAGATGATATTAGAAAAATAGTGAGGGGATTAGAAATTTTTTTATTTTTTTTATTTTTTATATATGGGAATTTTTTTTTA